ATTTTATATAAAAAACAAGGTTCTTGATTTGCTAAACTTGTTTATATTTACGACCATTCTGTGATACAGCTGCTCTGGGACAAATGTAATTTATTAAATGATCAAATATGAAGAATAAATAATTACATGAGCTGAAACCATCTAAATAATACAATATTTTTGAAGACTCCTTTTTATAAATCCTAATGCTTTCAAATTCAATTCAATTCAAATGCAAAAGTACCTTATTGATCCCAAAGGGAAATTACAGACGTTGTTGGTAACAAAAGAAAAAGTTAAGAGCTGCCTTCAGGTGACAGCTCGCTTTTTCAGAGCTACAGCTAGAAAACTCACTAAAATCATTTTTAAAACAATTTAGTGTTATTTTTTAAGAATTTCAATGAAACATACCTGGGATTTATTTTTATTTCTCTAACATATTTTGCAATGTTCTGTATATAATTTGAAAACATGGTGGGTCGTGGACTTAAAACATTGAGCAAAATACTCTTCAGGTTTTTCTGTTCACACCCAGAACTTATGAGATAATGTTTGTATCAAGTAAATCACTCGTTCCCATCTTTAACGTTGAGTTTAATGTCACCTCAGGTTGTCACCAAAGATTGGTTTTCCATGGAGCGAGATCAGAAACATTTCTTTCAACGACAAGAAGTTTGTCATCAAACCCATCGACAAGAAAGCTCCAGTGAGTGTTGATTTAATGCTCTGTTTGTGTAAAGTTTATAAGCACAGCCTGTAATGTGTGATCTGTGTTTTCTGCAGGACTTTGTGTTTTACGCCCCTCGGTTGAGGATCAACAAGCGCGTCCTGGCGTTATGTATGGGGAACCACGAGTTGTACATGAGACGGAGGAAGCCAGACACCATCGAGGTGCAGCAGATGAAGGCTCAGGCCAGAGAGGAGAAGCACCACAAAATGATGGAGAGGTACACAACCCACTGCCACTCACACAATCAGTTCATCTCTTAAAAAAAATTTATTATGTGTAGATTTATTTTAATGTTTGACGACTGTTA